ATTACACATACATTTCTAACATGTAAATTATTGAAGCCAAATACTTACATTTCCCCAAGCTGTTTAGCTGTAGTACAGTATTCATAGGCTTAATCATGAAGCATACAGTGGCCCCACTTTTAACTCTCTCTTTATATTACCCTTATTGTAGATGGATGCACAGAGGAAGACAAGAGTAAGAAGTGCAGTCTGGGAGTACTACACAACCAACACCAGGGAAGGCAGTTTTTGTCAGAGCCCGTTATTCTTAATTTTGACATTAATTTTCATTTTTACACCAGACATATATATCGGTTCAAAATATCGTTTATCGGTCTACTTGATCTGTAATAATCGGTATCGGCATCGGCCCTGAAAAACACATATCGGTCAACCCCTACAGTGTGATGCTGTCTCCCGGCACGACGAGACAAAACCAATAAAACCCATTACAAACGAGGCATTTGTTGCATCCAGTGGGGACATAATTACTAGGGGTGGGTATCACGATACATGGCTCACGATACGATAATATCGCGATACAGCGATTCTGCGATAATCGATATATTGCTAGACAATTCTATAATGATACATCACGATATCTGTCTAACTATGAAATCAAAATGCCTGTGAAAAGGTTAAGTGCAAGTTTTTTCTCTTTATTCAAGTCCAAATTGTTAGAAAGCAGCACAAAAGTTCTGTAAATCAAATTTAATATGCTAAGGAAATTAATAATTTTATTCTTGGACTTACTAAAAGCTTACACTTTTTTTTGTGTGTAAACCAACACATTTAACTGCTTATCAACTTTATATATAGCCTATATATAAACCTGGTACATTTCAAAATTTACCTGGAGTGCTTTCTCAACCTTTTCTCTCCTCTCATCATAAAAACAGAGCCCCGCGCACATAACATGCAGGGGGGAAAAAAGCCATTCACATCGCGTCTTTTGCGCGCTCAGGTTCGTTATTTCAAATGTAGATGCGCGGCAAGCAAACACTCTCCACACTTCTGCACCACATTACGGCTCTGACGAGGTTTTGTTTCGTCGTCCATGCCATAGGTGCAGATGTTTCTGCCGGTTGGTGCCCTAACGCGCACTTGTGATATCTGAGAGAAAGGGGAGCATCCAGTTTTGTTGACGTAAAACTGGACGCGCCTGCGCCGCTCTCTCTCACTCATATAAGTGAGGGAAATTCACCTGCAATCCGAGCAGAGAGGTTAGGCTACTCACGGACTCAATATGCGCTCTGCAATAATAACGTGATCGATACCTACAGTCCACGCTGATAGCTGTTTCCGGGGCAGTTTTTTATCTCCATTAGGAAACAGTCCTCCATAAAATGCGTCACACAGCGTCACACACAGCGGGCTTGAGTGAGGAACGGCCCACGGCCCACTTTGTCCACTGTGAAAGCCGATCCGGCGATCCACAGCGCGAAGTTGATGTATTTCCTCAGTGACCAGCACGGATCAGCTCTAGGCATGACGAAGCGGATATCGTCCTCTTTTGGAAGGCCAAACTAAGTAGTTTCGCTTTCACAACGAAACACACAGCGTCTCCAATCCGAGCAGAGAGGTTAGGCTACTCACGGACTCAATATGCGCTCTGCAATAATAACGTGATCGATACCTACAGTCCACGCTGATAGCTGTTTCCGGGGCAGTTTTTTATCTCCATTTCCTTTTATCTCCATAAACATATATAGAGCAGTAGAGCTAATACAGTGGCTGGAAATGTGTTTATCCTTCAGTCCCTCGTGCTTCCCCATCTTCATAGAGAACGCTAGAGGTTTGACGATTGATCGCATCTTTTAGATGCTGGGAGCAGGGAAATCTACATAGAGCGCCTTATTGTAGTAATATATTGTAGTAAATTGTAGTATTATATTGTAGTAAAATATCAATATTTGCAGAGCTTGTAACACTCCAAAGAGAGAGAAAAAATTGAAATCGCATCATATGACCCCTTTAATTTAAAAGATCTTGTATAATATTACTTGCTGTGTTTGTTTGTTTGCTTGGGTTTTATTGTATTTATGTGATATTTGTATTTTTGTAATTGAGTTTTTGCCATGAAAATAGCCTCAGATGCTGACATGGCATTAAATAAAATTATACATCATCTACTACTACTTGAAAATTGTCCTTCATTGTCTACATTTAAGTTGGTGCAGTAACCATCTAATTATTTTTTTTTTATCCTCTCAAAATGTTTCACCAGGCAATGTGACACCAGCACACTATGATGAGCAGCAGAATTTCTTTGCACAAATCAAAGGACATAAGAGATGCATCCTCTTTCCTCCAGATCAGTTTGACTGCCTCTATCCTTACCCAGTTCATCATCCATGTGACAGACAGAGTCAGGTATTGTATGTTTGATAAAACTCTAGACCAGTTGTTCTCTATTATAGGTATGTGATATTACCCCAGAAGTTTACAGTCTAAAAACTATACATTTAAAAATGTTGCTGTATTGTGTGTCTAATAATCGATTGCATAGCCTACTTTGTACTTCAGCAATACAGCATGCAAACTAATGTTCAAGTAAACAATATTAACAAAAAAAAGCAAAATATTATATTCAACGGTTTCTGTCACATGACTTTTTCCACTCATCTGCCATTAGTAAGGCGAAATGATGGCAGTGAATACAAAAACATTAAACATAAACAGAGATGCCAAAAAATATGTTGATAATTGTTTGATTTATACTAGGTCCTAGAAAACATTTGTACAGATCTCAAGTTAGCACCGACTCTTCACAAATATTTAATCCGCAATTCTTCTCTGTATGTTGCTGGTATACCCAAATGGACTCTAGATTGAATGTTGTACAAATGTTGTTCCTGGAATGAAAGGTCTGAGAACCACTGGCTGAAAAACTTTGTTTTCAGACTCTTTAAGACTGTAACAATAACTTGCAAAATGTTCTTCAACATGTTTTTTTTTTTTTTTGCATTCATAGGTTGATTTTGAAAATCCAGATTATGACAAGTTTCCTAATTTCACAAATGCTGTTGGATATGAGGCTGTTTTGGGACCAGGTGATGTCTTATACATCCCAGTGTACTGGTAAGATTGCCTTCAAATACACAGAATAGATCGATCACAATGATTACTTTAAGATGAAATGTGTATTTCAGCCAGTCTGGCTCAACCAAATGGAGTTTGAGACGGAACTATCTGTTTGACCAACCAAAGGCAGACAGGATGAGTGCTTGGGAAAACCTGTTAGGAATATTCAGCAGGCCTCTGGCTCTCTGCCTTCATGGGCTGCTGACTTAGTTTCAAGCCTGTGAGAGTGACTCAGCCATGACGGCTTCGTCTTCCAACTCCTTGCTCCCCCTAGTCACTGGAGGGCAAAATGATGTCAACCAGCTGTGTAATTCTACAGTCCATACTTTTTCCTCATGGCTGCCTGAGTGTGAACACCTCTTTTCTTCTTTTAACCTAGTGTTACAGAAGGGCCTCCATTTGAATTAAAGAGCAAACACAGAACGTTGTACTATTTTCCAAATGTTCTCAGAGTTTCCTTGTGTGTATATCTGAACTCTAATTCGACACATGGACAAAGAGTGGTGCACAGGGGCATCATGCTGCATATGTTCTTTAAAATCAGGCACATGTTTCAAAAGTAAAGCTTGTTGCCCTGTAATGGTTCAAGTCTCTAAAAAACTTTCCAAACTGGTTTTCATTAGCTGTGTAAAAGTGCAGTTTATATGTGTAAAATGCACATCGTGTGCTTTGCATAAATGATTATATTAAGAGAACAATCACAGTGGCAGGTGTGGAAGGAATGTCCGGTGTGGGATTCAAATGGTTTTTCAGTTTGACTTTCCTGCAGGCATGGTGCTCTTATCTAAACTGTCTTCGTCATAAATAGCAATCGAATGTTATTGTATGTAAAAGCATTTGTGGAAGATTTTTTACGTGTTCATTCATTTTAAAGTAGTTTTAGAATATTTAGTTCTAAATTAATTTTCATATGAATTAGAAATGATAAAGCAATCCAAAAATGAGTGAACAAATATTTAAAGTCAATTATTTAAATTCATGAAATATATTTGTATACTCTACTGTTTAAAGGTTTGGGTCAGTAAGATTTTTTTAAATGTTTTTTTTAGGGAGCTTTATGCTCACTTAGGTTGCATTCATTTGATTATAAATTACAGTAAGAACAGAAATTCTATGAAATATAACTATTTAAAATAATTGTTTTTTTTGTTTGTTTGTTTTATTTTAATATAATTTAAAACGTAATTTATTCCTGTGATGGCAAAGCTGAATTTTCAGCATCCATTACTCCAGCTTTCAGTGTCACACGAGAAATCCTTCAGAAATCATTCTAATATGCTGATTTGGTGCTCAAGAAACATTGATTATTGTTTTTCTATTTTTTTGTGGAAACACAATGTTTGTGGTGATGTTTTTTTTTTTAGGATTCTTTGATGAATAGAGTTCAAAATAACAGAATTTATTTGAAATAGAAATCTTATGTAACAATGTGAAAGTCCTTACTGTCACATTTGAGCAATTTAATGCGTTCTTGCTGAATAAGTGTTAATTTCTTTAAAAAAAAACCCTTAATGACCCCAAAACCTTTGCATAATACTGTATAGGTTTATGAAATTATCTTAAATGATAAATGCATGCATTTTTTACTTGATAAAGGTGGCATCACATTGAGTCCCTGTTAAATGGAGGAGTGACCATCACAGTAAACTTCTGGTACAAGGTATGCTTTTGCATCACCATCTCATCCACTGTCTTATTTGTAAACATGATATATCTTAGCACCAATCAACCAATATTGTGCAAAATATTTCCAGGGGGCACCCACTCCAAAGAGGATAGAGTACCCTTTGAAAGCTCATCAGAAAGTGGCCATAATGAGGAACATAGAGAAGATGTTGGGAGAGGCCTTGGGGGACCCGCATGAGGTACAGAGAAGTAGAACAGTCAATCAAAGCCTTTTCCGTTTTTAGGTCCTCAGATATGAATAATGCATTAAGGAATTCCCTGTGCATTTTGACCTTGACAATAACCTAATTACAAGTATATTTGTGGCTAACCTGCTTTAAACCTGAATAAAATTGTGCATGCCTACATTTGACTGTGACTAGAGCAAAAATTAATAACCTTTTTTCTTCTTCCACTACTTTAATTGTTTAATGTAAGTTTGTTCTGCAGGTCTTAAAATGTCCTAATTCGCCTTTCCACAAATTAAGGCCTTAAAAAGGGTTGATCAGCTTTTTTCGAAAGCTTGATTGTCTTTATGGGGTGCAGTGTAACGTGTTCATGCTTCGTTTAAAAAAAAAAACACATTATTTTCACATATTTTACCTTTATTCTACACCGCTGTTTCCATTCTCGTCAAAACGGTCTGTTGAGTTCCTGGTTCTATGAACATTATTTTCACATATTTTACCTTTATTCTACACCGCTGTTTCCATTCTCGTCAAACCGGTCTGTTGAGTTCCTGGTTCTATGAAGCCCCTCCCTCAGAAATACGCAATGGCCTCTGATTGGTTAGCGGGCTCAGTGTGTTTGTGATTCGCTAACCGCCGTTGTCCGAAAACGTCACGCCCCCCTTACCATTATGGGTAGTTGCGTGTTCCCGGGGGCGGGGTTTATGTAAACATCGGGTTAGTGAAGTCACAAACCCAGGAAGAAGCTCGTAGTCCCTACCAGCCGTTTTTTGTAGTCCTTGAACAGCGATTTCTTTAAAAGAAAATATCTCCCTTTGCATTGAACTCTGAGCGTCGTAACTTTGCATGCGTTGTTTATGCTCTAACAGCAACATTACACACTAACTAAAGTTCAAAAAGTGAAATCATAAGCAACCACCCCTTTAAATCAGAGCAGAAAGTCTTAAATTCTTAAGGTCATGCCTGGCAGATTTGTTCTTGTATTAATCATGAAATATTGTTTGAAACAATTTCACAAAAAACTTAAGTCATTTTGCTTCTCATATTCTAGTGATCGGGAGCTGAGGTATTCAAGATTTTTTTTTTTATCCCTTGTTTTCAACAGGTTGGTCCATTGCTGAACATGATGATCAAGGGCAGATATGATCATGGACTGAGTTAATGGCCTGAGCTGAACTCTCTTTAGTGTGCTGCTAAGAAGGTCTGTTGATATGTATGTGTGGATATGAGTATATGCTTGTGTGTACATTCAGACTGTTGAAACAGACTGTTGCCAGTGCATGGCAGTATTTTGGCAGTATAAAGACTTCCGCCTTTTGTCTGTTTTCAACTATAGCTAGTTCTATGTTGGTGTAAGAGGAAAACCACTGATGAGGAATCTTAAGTTGATCTCTCCTTAACAAGTCCTTAAATTCATATGTGTGCAGCATTACATGCTAAAAAATAGACGAATGCATTAGCAGAGCCTGTAAAGCACTTTTACACCACCCAGAGCACCTGTTGTCAGGTTTTGTCCCATGTTGGGACAAAGAAGGTGCCATATGTCATGATTAAACTCCTGTGGTTGAGTCCGTGCTGTGAAACTGGCAGCGTGCCTCGAGCATATCCACAAAGGAGGATGATTTACAACTTGAAACCTAACCATCAGCTCATTGACGGTTTTAAACTGTTGATATTACCATGATTTGATGGTGTTTTTTGTTTGCTTTTGAATTTGATCTCATGGATTAACAGTGTTTCTGTTAGGATAGAGGTAATGCAGAATACAATGGTCAGCCACAATGTTTTTAAAACAAAGGATTTCTTATCCTTTGGTAGCTGACTCACTGAATTAAAATGTGCATTTGTTATTATTATTATTTTTTTTAGGTAAGTGTACATTAAGGCAAATGTTTTAGTTTCTTGATGTTATATTTTTCAGTGAAACATTCTATGGTACCATTTCTGTAAGGATTGTAATTTAGAACAAACTACACTTGCCAAGTGTTAGCCGTTTCTATGAATTGAAAGGAAATAAAAGATTTTGAATAGTTTGGTCTAATTTTAAGTCTTTGAAAATGCAGTTCAACTAATTCTTTTTTAATTGCAACTTAGTTTTTATTCTGTTAATTACAGTTTTTGTTGTTAAAATTAGTGCATTTAAGATACAAAATGTGTGTGCTAAATGCTGAAAATGATTTAGTTTTTCACTTTTGTTCAGGGAAGAAAGCAAACAACACAAATGGCCACTTTAATTCTTTAAATGTATACAGTGTTTCAAAGTTTTCTTCATTACATAAACCTATTGGTATATCATGGACTTGTATCAGCTGACTTTATATTTTGCCAAAATGTCAAACAGTGTACCATCAATGATAGTAGTCATCTATCATAAATTGCCTATCATCACGGACACAAAATATGAAATAAATCATAACTCTGGGAACATTTGTCTTGTTACAGGCATTCTTACAAAGATTACAGAATATAAAATTCTGACAAGATTATTTTGAGGTGTTTGGCCTTTCACAGACATGTCTTTTGTCTTTAAAAGAATAATTGAACCGGTGTTCTAGCATTGTTTAACATGTGCTTTAGAGCATGATCTAAGTTGTGTAAGAATGTAAGCGAACGGAACCTGTTACTTCAAAGACTATCTGCATGATCTTTTGATTTCTGTAGTTCTCAGTACTGATTTCTGAGTGGCTTAAAGTGGTTTTGTCTGTTCTTCTAGTCTTTAAATTAAAACATGTTTTCTTTTCTCACCTTTGTCTTTAGATGTGTATATTCCTCCACACGAAAATTAATTTATTCTTTAAACACAACCTCATTATTCTCTTCAGTGTACTTATAAAGGTAGAAAAATCTGTTTTCAAAACCATTTTAAGTAGTTTAAAAGCATTTAAAATAGACAATTGAGAAATGACAACATTCAAACAACATTTACTAGTTCCTTTCAAAAACATCAGTCCTTGAAAAATAATGTTAATATATTTGAATCTAATCACTGCACTTCAGTTTCAGGGTCATGGAGGTGACTGGTAATGTAGACAGCGGATACTGTGATTCTATGGCAAAGACAACATGGTTTACATGTAAATGGGGTACATCAAGCACAAACAAATCTCAAATACTGGTGTAATATGGATATGACAATACAATTGTTAATAATGAACACAAAGCACATCCATTACTAAAACTATGCAAAGCAATTACACAATATAGACAAAAGAGTAACTCTAGAAAGTTTGCAGACGAAGCTTTGGTCTATCCAAAGCTTGTCCAGTGTATATGATGAGCTTAAACCCGAATTAACAGGCAGACAGTGAACTGCATCTCAAATCAACGGTCACACAGACCCTGCTATTCTATAGTTTCTGTAGGAACATAATATGGAGTCTTTTTATTTCTGTATATGAAAATAAACACACAATGCAAAATACAAACACTGATGTTCCAACTGTTTCCTGCCACCGAAAATGAGCTAAACTGGTTGTTTTTATAACAAAACAACCACTTAGCGGAACATTTCAATGACTTTCAGTAAAATGATGTGTAAAACAGGGTTTGGCTTAAAGAAAACAGTCAAATGCAAACACCTTCATGTTTGTAGGTATAGCTTAAGGTTTTAGTAAAAAGTAGTTAAAAAAATAAATAGAGTAACATATAAGGACTCGAAAAAAGAGACCTGCTGGGAGATTACACAGATCAGCAAATCAATTCAAACATCAAAACTCCACCATGTATGTAAATGGACACACGTTTAGACCAAGATACATTTAAATAAAAACTAAATCATTTGTTTCCAGTCACAGATAACCAGACACAAATATCAAAAACATGGAGGGTTGACTGAATGGTCCATCAGCAAGATGCCTTTCATCAATGAAAGCGGTATTTGCGTGCTGGTTTGAGACTAACATAAGTCTTCTTCATGTCATCTGGTTCTTCTTTCTTGACTAGATGGTAACGCTCTCCCTTTGTGGTGACCACCTGACTGCCGTGATAGCGCACCAGTTTCTTAGGAGCCTGCAGATGACCATATAGGAAGTGGAAAGAATTAATATCTACATAATTCATCGATGTTATACAATGCGATCACTGAAAACATACATCTTTTGGAGTGACTGGTCTGTGCACTTTCTTGTCTTCTTCACTATCAACCAGCATGTACCTGCGGGTCCAAACATTTGATTAGGCATTTTTTTTCAGCTTGCAGTGACATCCAATATAAAAAGTGAGATCAAGGTAACAACTCACTTTTCTAAAATGCTTGCTTTAAGTTTCTGATCAACTTCAGCCGAAACAGTTTTCCCTTGGTTTGCCTGAAAACACAATTTTAAGGCATCAGTGTTATTTTAGTATTATCTATATACTATTATAGTATTAGTTAATATTTTGAATTAACTTTTATTTTTATATTATAATTTTTTTATTGTAATTTTAGTTAAAGTTATAATACTTTTGTACTTATGTACAAAAAACCCACACTTTTTTTTTTACTTTTTAGCTTCAATTTATTTTTATTTGTTTTAGTAATTTTAATACTTACACTTTTTTTGTTTTGACAAATATATGACTAAACATTTTTCATTTTCGTTTAATTTCTATCTAAATCTAATATTTATATTTTATTTTAGCCTCATTTCAATTAACGAACATTATTTTTAACAGTTTTATTTATAATCTGGACCGATTTGCAACAAAATATCCCTACAATATCTTTCAAATATAAAAAACATTAATCTTGAATAACAGTTAAGGGCAAAAAAAATATTTATAGATAATTGTATCTATAATTTAAGTTTTATGATGTTAAATTACTTCAGTGAAAGGAGCTACAAATGAACTTACATCAAGAGACGTTGAGCACTTAAGCTGGACATCTCCCTCAATAATGAGACGAACAGCTTCCTCCACGTCTCCTTTAGCAATCGACAATGCACTTCTGGCCTCAGACACACTGCATTTAGGAAACATCTCAAGAAGATGTTGCTCCTGTTTGTCCCACGATGATTCACTAACCTGAAAACACATTTCCAAACATATATTCACTTGCCAACCAGCTGGCCATCATCTGGTACGTTGTGAATGTGCTTGAAAGGCCATTACCTGAGCTGTGGCTCCCTCTGCTTGTAATGTGAGGTTGTGTGTCTTTTCTCTTGAACCTCCATGGGTTAAAGAAGTGCTTTCTGAGAGGGGAAATTTACCTTCCTCTGTTTTCATCTCTCCAGATTCTTAAACAGACACAAATCACATTTCAGTGTGCAGGACATTTTCTTGTTTCTTCACATAAGTGCCTTTGTCCTGTGCACCTGCTAATAGTCATTCAGGTTCGCGGGGGTGGGAGGTGTTTTTATGGTTGATCTTTTTTTTTGGGGGACAAAATCAAATGTATCTAATATAATATAATATAATATAATATAATAATAAATGCAACATCTGTTATGAAAGGAAAATTACCTGTATCCCGGGCTGAGGCCAACTTTGATGCCAGATTAAACATAATCTCACAAACTTTGACACTATAAGAAAAAAAAAAATTACCAACAGTCAAAAATGCATGAAAATATGATACAATTTTAATACAAAATAATTGCAAATCTCAGTAGGACTAAACTTGCAAGACATCAGCCCACAGTTACCTGTCAATATCTGAGAAACCAGGAATGTAGGCCTCCAACATTTCAACAAACACCTCTACATCAAAGTTTTCCTCCACACTTTCTTGAGATCCCAAATCTTCTAGCACCCCAGTGATGTACGACAAAATCACATCATCTAGAGTACTAATCAAAAATAAAAAAACACGTCACTGGTATATTTTCATGATTGAGGAGAAAAAAAAAACTTTAATTAAAGGTATGAAGTGACACGCCCTCACCTCAGATCCGCGTGAGGAATATATGACAAAATGAAGTCGTTCAGCGCGTCGTGGATTCTTTTTTGAAGATCCATCCTACATGCAGTCGAATTAAAAAGGTGAAGAGAGAACAAAGAAGAAATGACAACTTATTAGAGAAGCTTTAATGCAGGTATGTTTCAGAAAACAAACACGAGGCTACAGAACTGTGGCGGCAGAATGCTGGAGATTGTGCTCAACATCAACTGATATCAAAGTGAAGGTTAATCAAACCAGAAGAGTCTGTATAATTTTGGTTCTCAGCAGTTTCAAATCCTGCAAAAAGTTAAAACAAATTTCTTTCTTATGCAAGGCCTAAATAGTCCAAAAACAGATTTTTGTTTTGCGTGCTTCGACGTCGATGCGGATTCAGTGCACTTATTTAAATTACCCCAAAAATTTTTTACGTGTTGGAAAACATGTTTGCAAAACGGCAACGCTTGCACGCGATCTCCACACATTGTTTTGGCGTTTAATCATATGATTGTACAATCAATCAATCTTATGGTTAACATTTTAGAAACACGGTGGACAAATTATATGCATTCATCCGCTGTCAATAGAAGCATTTGATCCCGATATCATGGTTTGTTTATCTGTGCTCAGTTGGGCAGCCGATGGCTAACTAGCATAGTCCTATAACATGCGCAAAGAGCTTCAGACGTTCATCTCACCTTTGGATCAAACCGCACAACTAACAGAATAAAAAGAAAACAAAAACCCGCTCGTAAAAATTTAAAACTTGTGTTGGCAAGCTGGCAATAAATCGTAAAATGTTTTGCTAATTCACTAGCCCTGCGCGCGGTCGCTGAGGTTCAAAACATTTGACGTCACGTCCGCTTTAATGTAAACACACCCTCGTGTCACTTGTTTTGATTGCATGCATTTACAGAGTTACAAACGCATTTTATTATCTTTATTCACTATTCTGCTGTATGATACAGTTTATTTAGCATTCAGTGTATAGACCTGTGCCATAGTACAGAACATGGAGTTCAAATGTGACTACCCGATGATGCATTACATGTATTGATTTTGTGCTTCTATAGTTGAATGTGATTATGATCGCTGTGATTACTAAGTTGTAGTTGTGATATATTTTAATAGAACACTTGTTTTATGTCATCATCTCATACACAAACAAAGGCCAAGGTAAGTCACCCATAGCAAACAATTTTTTTTATTGTCAACCAATTGCAAGTAGATATTGAACAATGTTTTGTATAACGATACGGAGTAATTTTAGGTTTGAGTGTCAGAGAACAATGCAAATTTTCATTGTTTTATTTCTACAGTACATTTGTCACAATGATAAATAAAAATTGGACTACAGCATTAAAAACAAATGTAAATAAAATATATGATGGATATTTTATGCATAATAATAATAATAATAATAATAATAATAAAACAAACTAAATATTTTATATAACGAATAATATTAAAATAATATTTTATATAAATTAATACATTTAATAATAAACATATATTAGAAATATTTTTATTTACAGATACATACACAATTTTTTTTATTGCTAGCATAACTACTTCTATAATAATAGTAATAATTGTATTATTATTGTTCTCATCATTGTGCAAAAACTATTATAAATAGTTTATTTTTAGTTACATTTGTTTTTATTGCTTGCATAATTAATTACTACTATAATAATTTTATTTGTCATTACATTTTTGTGGTTGTACATAGCAAATTATTTTTTATCTCTGTTGTCTGTTTTGACTCCTTTTAGGTCAAAATACAATCGGTTTCTCACTTGAGAATGAATGGCTGTAATGTGAATTGAGAAATTTTTGCAAATAATACAATGAATTAGGTACTTTACCTGTGAAACACTGTTGTTTTCTGTTAAATGTGATCTAGCAAAGGATGTCACTTATCAGTAGACCCGATACTGATTGAGTAAAAGTAAGTAAGAATATCAGGGAAAAAAAATCAAAAATCTGTTATTGATCTGTCTCTAATAGCAAGTACTGTCTGTGGAGTTTTACTGATCTTTTATAAGGCCCTTCCGCACATACGTCAGCATCTGTTAGCGCACATATAAGGGGTAAAGAGAGATCTTTTATAAGGCCCTTCCTCACATACGTCAGCATCTGTTAGTGCACATATAAGGGGTAAAGAGAGCTCCAGTGTTATTACACTAGTGTATGCTGTCACGCCTCCTGATTACAAATTGGTTTCATAGATGTTTAGCGCTGCATAATTAATGCTTTATCGAGTGTGTGTTTTATCCAGCTGCACGGTTTCATTATTAGTACGGGAAATACAGTACATGAGGCTGATAATGAGTCTAGGAGAAGACGTCTCATCTTGGCTGGACTTTATTTAACCCTCTTGGGTCAGTGGCATGTAGAATTGTCTTACAAACTGAGTGCATGAATGAAACCCATCCCTATTCCTTATATATATATATATATATATATATACACAGTCAGTAAGTATATAATAAGAATATAGCGGTGTATTTATTTAGACTTAATTCCGGACTTGTTAATGAAGTTGGCAACAAAAAAACAGCCTATTTGTATGGATAGTAGATGCTAGCTTTTAATGCATCAGATAATATGCATTCTTAATTATAAATGCAAATGACTTATTCATAGGAAAAAAGGCTATAGGGTAAGATCTTGATGTAAGTTACATATTCTAGAGGTGAATTAAAGCAGTACATTTGTATTTTTACTGGGTGAAGGGAAGTAAATAAAGAGGCTAATTGTCACTAAGAATGGGCTATGTTGTCACAGTGGCATTTCATGAAACCGTAAAAATATAAATGGTAACATACAATGAAGTTGTAATAAATTAATAGTTTAAAATAAAAAATATGACAACTTGGATTTAAAAATATTTCCTGACCTGTAATGAAAAATGTTTAATGGTTAATGTTCCATTTAAAATCTACCTAGTTCTATTGTGGTCTATTGTTACCAGCAGCTATAGAAAAATATCACGGTGCTTTCATTTTAGTTTGTGGGATAAATTGTGATATAGATTTGGAGATATATTGAAAATGTTTGGTGAGATTCACGGTGTGAACACTAGGTGGCTGCATTGAGTCATGATACACGTTTGCATCGTTACTGTTGACTTTAACAGAAACATTGAAGCAGTTCATAAATCGGGAAATGTAAAATCAGTTTCTCAACAGTATCACATTTAGTTTTTATGGGGTTTACAGACATTTTTTATTTTCTAGTTTCTGCATGTTCGTTTTGTATTGCGTCTAGAAATAGAATTTAGCTGATTTTCCTACAGAAAAAAATATTTTAATTTATTTAATATAATATTGCTTATTTATTTTCTTAAATACTCAAATGAATGGATATAATTTATTTTGCATTATATAATTTATTTTTTCTTTTAATATAAAAATGCTGTTTGAGTTATGGATATACAAAATTATCTAATTTTGTAAAAGACAAAACATTAGGTTGTACTACTTTATTTTTTAAACTTTCATACTGGTACTGGAGGCACTGTTATAGTTGGCCTAGTCTTGCCTTGCATTCTCTCATTTGCCGTTACAGACACGAGAACTATTTTCCAGTTGAAGGCACGATGTGTCCCATCTGCCAGTGTGCCAGAACCCTTGAGCTCAAGGTGGGCCACAGAGACCCTGTACTGAACCCGCAAGGACCACTGTGTCATGAAGCACATCCCGTAACATAGCTTTAACATACTGTATGAAACACAATGCACTTACTTATGTTAAAATGTTCTGGATGTTTGTTAAACACACCTGGTTGTTGTGCACTCAGAAACCAGATGAGAAATCAAGAACTTACAGCTGTATTGTGAAAATCTATGTTATACATTTAGTATCAAAAGTTTAATTTAGGTTTCCCTCTTAAAATAGTTTCACTCTGTTTTAAAAAGATTAATTTGGTAGTTTGTATAGAGAAGTTTTCTTTGATGGTATAATGTCTTTTGATGACACCTATATTATTGTGTATTTTATTGTATATCAGGATAAATCTATTTTAGCTTGTCTTTCTAAAAATACACAGATCACTTTGTTTTTTTTAAATATATATTTTATAATTTTATTATTTCATTTGCCTGTTAAAAATGAATAACTACATCTAAAACATTTTGCATTTAAAATATTAAAAAGCAATTAAAAGGTTTTCACTCATAGTTAATGGTATGCTCAAGCATGTCATTCAGCAATGGAAGGCCAGGATACACAATGTGCATATTGTGTTAAAAGAGAAAGATTTCCATTTGATCAGACACAATGGAGGAAGCCTTGATCTCCGCTTTGCAATTTCCTCTCCTTCGTTAGAGGAGCCAAACACGGTGCGAATAAATTTACTGCCAAATTAATTACCTTTTCCCCAACTTTAGACAATAATACCAGAAGCTGTCTGTCGGAACACATCTCTAATTATTTTATTAATGTTTGATTCACAGTTCAAGCACAGCGATTTCACATTTTTTATTAACTTTATTATACTTTGAAGTGAATGTGTATTATTTTATATTAGATGATCTGAATTGAATTACCCAAGTGCCAAAATCAAATCAACAGATTTTTGTTTTCATCTCACAGATATCGTTAAAAATTGAACAAATCTATTGTGCAATTGAAGCCACCGAGTTTTATTAATGAGCTTTTTCAAGCTTTCACAATTTGCCTCCTCAACCTCAAATAGGGAAATAAATGAATAGAATTTAATCACACAGTCATACTGTATGAAACTGTGCTTTCCATCAACACTTAAATGGGAGGAAAAAAATTCTGATTCAGTTTTTTTAAAAGAAAATATATAGATATTAGAAACATGCAGTTTATAGTTAATTTTCAGTTTAAAAGCAAACAATTTTTCACTTAACTACATTCTGAGACAATATATAACATTTAGACTAAATGCTACACTACAATTTTATGTATTTAATTATTATTATTATTATCTTTTTTTAAATTATTATTATTATTGTGCATTTAAACTTGTTGCCAGGTGGTGATCTCTGACTCTTATCTTTATGAAAGACTAGTAGCAGGAAACTCAATGTCAAACAGCATTTTGCAGGCATGGCAAACATTATTTAGACCAGCTTCTGTGGCCAGGGTATCAGGCTTGGGGGTCTGGAGCTGTATCAAGCCATCAGAGCTGGCTTATCCGGACTCCTGCAAGGCAATGCTTGCCTTCCCGTCTGGCTCCTGCTTAGATCCTGTCTCAAGGAAATAGGCACCAGACTGGCCACTGCTCCCTAAGACCCGCTGCGAACAAGAGGCATAATGCGGTCTTGTGCAGTGGATGTCGTCCTACTCTAATGTAGATGAGTTTAAATGCTTGAATAGACCACTGAACTCACGGTAAATGAGCATGTCTGAATTAGTTGATTCTGACATTATATTTAAATTATATTGTTTTGTTAAGTAGCTTTCCATTTATCACCATGTTTGTAATGTTTGGTTTCGTATGAAATTATCCTATTAATGGCGGTTTTATGGCAAACATGCTTAAACCACTATGAGAGATTTAGTTATATGATATAAATAATTTAAAAGGTCAGGTTGTGTCAGGAGACAATTAACTTGTCTCTCCTCTTCTGAAAATCTACTCTGGAATCGAGCGTACAGTGTATATGCATGCTACAGCATCTATATATGACAGATCTTATGGCTTATGATGTATGAAGTGCTTCATATCAAATGAAGACCTTGTTTCTGGCTCATACTTCTTATCAAGCCTGTCTGTGATATGACCCCGGCACTTAACTGGTTAAAGTGTGTCCGCAATCCATCTTCAGGACCCCCTGCATATTAACATTGATCTGTTGGAAATGAAGAACAGACGT